CAAAAATTATAATTATCAAAAGATCAATCAATCAAACCTTCAGACACCTTGTCAGTGACAACATACCAGTATTTGGGCACAGAGCAAAGAAGCTGTTGTTCCTCTTTTTCAGAAATAATTTACAAAACATGCATATGTTTCCAATACATCGGCATGTGTTAGACTGTTCCTAGGCTACATATCATGTACTAAGGATTACTTACAGTCCATAGACTATATTTTCAAATTTGAAAATCACCTCATGCCACTTGTGACAATATAGTGTCTTTATCATAACTGTTGCCTCAGCACACTTTAAATGGGTAACATTTTAATGGATACATTAAGAAAAAACAAGTCTTCCTACAAACAACATAAAACATTGCAAATAATTAATTAATAATTAAGTTTTCAATTTTTACAGGACGAACACAAATCTGGCGACCATTTTCCACAACCTCACACAAAGATGTATTGTGTACTATAATGTAATTGTAAGAATATATTTTTTCAATTTAATTTCATTTAACAAACTGTATTCAGATTATTAATATTAAAGTGAAGTTTATGTAGGCTATGTGGAACCTTTCATACAAATGCAACTAACGATTGCATAAAACATTATGCATTTGATTTTGGTGCTCATGTGCTGTGTGTATGTGATTTGGTGCTTATGTGTTCTATGTCTACCTGCTTTTATCTATGCTCCTGTGTTTTCTGTCTGTGCTTATGTGCCTGTTACTGTTTTATGTTTTGCCTTCAAAATGCTGGGGACTGCAGGTGAAAACAATGACAGTATAAACAATACAGTATGTAGACATGTTTTAAAATGAATGCTAACAGAAAAGTGTAGGTGAAAGAAAAGGTTATTTTACTTTAGATGTAGCCTATTGGATATAGCAACTTGTAAGAATGCGAAAGAGGAAGCCAGAGCTTGCTCAGAAACTCTTGCTGTTGCTTCCATTCCCATGTGCTGTTAAATAAGTCACTGGCTGCTAATTGATGAATCTCTTCACTGGAGGTGTAAATGACAAATGACACGCAATTTGTTTCAATGAATTTGAAAAAATTATCTCAAAACACAGTACAAATGTATAACGCAAGACCAAACTATATGATACGACATTCACTCTTACCACACCAGTTGCATATCAATGTTGCTATCTTATTGGTGATGGCATTCTGACAAGCTTCTGGCAAGCAACCCACTGAAGCCGAGTGTGCAGAATAATAGCAGTCAGACAAGGTTGTCTGTTGTGCCTTCGCTCTGCTTCCTCACTGAGGCGGCATGCTAACGTTAGCAAGCTTGCTGATTTAGAGTTGTAGAGTTGGACAGCTGCTTTGTCCGTTGTTGACAGAAGCACACTGCTTCTCCAATGCTTTGGTGTCGTGACTGTCCATTCAGGAACATTACATTACTAGTCTAGTTTACTGACAACTCAATAGGGCATGTCATTGCTCACGCTCGTAGTACAGCGCCATCTGCTGGATCACAAGGAAAACTACTCCAACTTCCATTTTCAGTCGAAAGGTTTGAAATACCAACAAAATAATCTGAAATGATGTACTACTAATATTTTATTTTGGTTATTAGAAAAAGGGAAAGATACAGTTAAGACATTTTCAATCATTAACTATAGGTGCATTCCAATATTGCACGTCAATATTTAGCTACAGCTGTGATTTGAAGGTGTTTGAATGCATACAATAGTGCTCAGCACAGTCAAACACTCAAACACATTTTTTACAAACATGCAAGTTGACGTATTAGACGTCATAGATTACAATTGTAAGAACAATTTATACAGCAGCTGTTTGTTCACAGATCCATTGCAGAGAAGCTTCACAGGACACATCATTCCAGTAAGTACCTTTGATGTGTGCACAGTCTTCTTCACCCCACTGTGGGTCTCCACCACCATTATCAGGCTGATGTGGTTCCCAGTACCTTGTAGGATAGAGAACGACAGAATCATGACACTGTTTATCTTTGACATAAACACAGTCCTAATAGACACAGGTCTCTTTTACTAGCCTTGTGTGGCTACATGTTTGGACAAATAAACACAGGTCTCTGTTAGAGGCCTGGTATGAAAGTTATTTGGATGTATAAAACCTCAGAAAGTCACCCGGGTCGCCTGCTGGAGTGATCTCTAAGCTGCTTAGATCACGTACACAAATAGAAATGTTTAAACCTTTGTCAGTATGGATGCTGCACATCTTTAGATCAGTTAGATTCTCCACATTTTATGGAAACTATGAGCACCGAAGTAAAATTAATTCAGGT